GGAGTTTAGGGCTGTTGTACATAGGGTCGCTATGAGTCGCAGGCGACTCGATGGCACATAACAACAACATCCTTGAGTCAACTTCAACTCATAGCGACCGATGAACAACAGATCTGATCCTTGTCCTGCCCTGCTCCACCCTTGTGATCTCTGACATGCTCAAGCCTGTTGTTACAGCCACTGTCCTCCTCTCCTGCACACACCCCTCTACCTTTCCCAGAATTATTCCAAGGACTTGGTGCCTCCAGATATAACATGCCCAAAGTGTGTGAGACCAAGTTTCACCATCCTTACCTCCAAAAAGCACCCTGGCTGCATTTTCTCCAAGACAGATCTGTTTGTTCTTTTTTTTTAATTTTTAAATTTTATTCTTTCTTTGTGTGTGTACTGTCAAATTGGATCTGACTGGTACAGGAAGAGATTGCCCCTCCTTCTCCAGCAGAGCATCTGGTGGATTCAAACTGCATACCTCTGGGATTGCAGTGCAGCTTCTTGCCACTCAGCGACCAGAGCTCTGTTTGTTCTTTAGGTAGTCAATGAGATGTTCAATAAATATTCTTTGCTGGCTCTACAATTTGGTCTTCCTTATTCATTGTTTAACTTTCAGATGCACACAAAACAGTTGAAAATATTTTGGATCAGGAGCATGTTGGTCTTTAAATGGACGTCTTTGCTCTTTAGTAATCTGGGGAGGCTCTTGACAGCAGAGACTCCCCAAACAGCACATCTTTTGATGTCTGCTGCCACCACGGTGTTGATTTGAACTTTGGACTTCTCAAAAGTCATGGTGTTAAAAAAAAACCACAAAGTCATGCTTTTGAATTGGAACCAACTCATAGTTGATCCCTCTAGTGGGTTTTTGGAGGCTTAAAGTTGCCCAAGAGGAGAAGGCTCATCGTCCTCTCAAAGTTTAGCCTCTAGGACTGAGAAAAAGATATTTCTGTTCTTTATAGACACTTGCTTGTGGGTTTTTTTGTTATTATTGTTGTTGTTGTTGGTGATGGTAGTCGGGTATGTGTGCCAAGACAGATCCAAATTATTATTTTTGAGATTTATGAAAGGGATAAGTTGAATTTTATCCTTTAATTTTAGGTACTTCTGTAACATTTTACTTTTTATAATGTATATTCTTCCTGTAATTTAAAAATAAAATATTTGCTTAAATAGAAACTGGAGCTAGTCTGCCGAAAGTAAAAGAATTCAAGCCATTGTCTAAGTTAGCTGACTTTAGCAGAATTTGGGAAAGACTAATATCATCTGATTAAAGGGCATCGATTTGTCACATTGCAGCTACTTGACAAGACTGAATATAGGCAGGTAATCTGCGACCACGGTTTTCCCCGAGGCAGGGACCCTGGAAGTAGTTTTCCAAGCTGAGCAGGATTTCCTAATCATCTAGGAAGATTTTAAATGCTGCTTCCACATTCTGCTAAACAAATGCACTTCCTCTACTTTGTTGCATTTTAAGTGTTTTCGTTTTTAAAAATTACCCAGATTACACATCTTCATTTTAAAAAAACAGAACCAAACTTCAGACATTAAGGAAAGAATAATAATTGAAATGCATAAACTTTCTCCATAGAGGCAACCACTGTTTAGAGTTTGGTTGTGTATTCTTGATAGATAGATAGATAGATAGATAGATAGATAGATAGATAGATAGATGGATGATAGATATATAGATGACAGATTAGTTATTCTTCTTGTTGTTGTATACCATCGAGTAGGAACCAATCCACAACTGACCCTCTGGTGGATTTTCAGACGCAGTTAATCGCATGAGAGGAGATTGTTCATCCTTCTCCTGCAGAGCAGCTGGTGGATTCGAACCTCGAACCACGTGCCTTTATATTTTATTTTTTTTGTTTTAAATGACTTTTTATTGATATGTAAGTCATATAATCACAAAATTCACCATTATAATATGTACACTTTTTTGGTTTTTCATAGATCCTTTCCACTAACTAACCCTAGATTATTTTCATCACCCCAAAGGAGGCCCCCATATCCAATAATGTTCTAAATGAATAATTTCATTAAAAAGAATAAATAAGGGAGTTCTGGTGGCCTAGTGGCAAGACACTGTACTGCAATCTTAGAGGTATGTGGTTCAAATCCACCAGATGCTCTGCTGGAGAAGGAGGGGGCAATCTCCTCCTGTACCAGTCAGATCTGATTTGACGGTACACGTAAAAATAATGCAATAAAAATAAAAAGATAAAATAAAAAATTTTAAAAAATAATAAATAGAGTCATACAATATGTGGTCTTTCACTTAGTGTATAACTGTTATGAACGTTTCTCCACGTGGTAGCATGGATCAGGGCTTCATTTATTTTTATGACTGGATAAACTCCTCACAACTGAACCAATACGCTTCATCAGGATAAACGGAGAAAATATTGGAGTTGTCAAGGATTTCATTTCACGTGGATATACATTCAATGCCCATGGAAACAGCAATGAAGAAATCCAATAACAGATTGAATTAGACAAATCCATCTCAAAGGACCTCTTTAAAGTGTCAAAGAGCAAAAAATGTCACTTCAAATACTAAGGTACACTTGACCGAAACGATAATGTTTTCAGTTGCCTTATATGCATACAAAACAGCTGGACAGCCAATAGGGAAGATGGAAGAAGAACTGATGCCTTTGAATTATGGTGTTGGGGAAGAGTATTGACTCTATCATGGACTATAAGAAGAGCAAACAGATCTATCATTAGAGGCATACAGCCAGAAAGAATGCTCATTAGAGACCAAGATGATAGGGGGCTCTGGTGGCCTAGTGGCAAGAAGCTGCACTGCAATGCCAGAGGTGTGCAGTTCAAATCCACCAGCTCTTCTGCTGGAGAAGGAGGGGCCAGTCTCCTCCTGTACCAGTCAGATCCGATTTGACGGTACACACGCAAAAAATAATTTAAAAAAATTTTTAAAAAAGAAGCAAAGATGATGAAATTTTCTCTTATGTGCTCTGGACATGTTATCAGGAGGCATCGGTCCCTGGAGGAGCATATCATGCTTGGTAGAGGGACAGTGAAATAGAGGAAGACCCTCTCCAGGACATGGATTGATAGAGTATCTGCAAGAGTGAGCTCACACACAGCAACGATTGTGAGGATGATGCAGGAACAGGCCTTTTTCTGCCGTGCGTAGGGTTGCAATGTGTAAGAATGGAATGGCTGACGTCTAGCACAAAAATATCTTATTATATGCCTATTTCGTTAATGCACTCATCAATTATTGTACATTTGGATTGCTCGTACTTTTGATTATAATAAGGCTGTTCTGAACACTTGTCTATAACTTTTTATATTAGCATGTTTTCAGTTCTCTTGGCTATATATATGCTTGGGAATGGCATTGCTAGCTCACATGCTTAACACCTGAAGGATCCTAGTCACATTTTCACCACGTGGCATTCTTTTTTTTTTCGTTGTGTACGGTCTAACCGGATCCGACCGGCACAGGAGGAGATTGCCCCTCCTCCAGCGGAGCATCTGGTGGATACGAACCGCGCGCCTTCGGGATTGCAGTGCAGCCTCTCTGATTGTAACCATCTTCGTGGGTCTCAAGAGGTCTCTGGTGGTTCAGTAATCCACAGACAGCTGTCCTGCTAACCCAAAGGCCCTGGCTCTCGGGTTATTTGAGTCCACTTCTGCGGGAGAAAGATGGGCAATCTCCTCCTGTTCAATTTGCAGCCTCAGAAAGCCGGTGGCGAGTCAGCTCTGAGTTGATTCCAGCTGGATGACAGTGTGAAACTGAGCGATGGGCGGGGCCGAGTGTGGAAAATGTCAGGCTGCTCGCCCCACCAGCTGCTCTGTCTCCCCAATAGATTTACAGCCTGAGAAAAGCCAGCAGAGGGTCACGACGAGGAGGAAGCCCCTTGGCCGCAGTGGATTCAGTTTGTGTAGTGGCTATGAAGGCGTACTGCCATGTAGTTTTGATTTGCACTTTTCTTATAACTAATGATGTTGGGTATCTTATTTTTTAAGAAAAAAAATTATTTTCTTTTTAGTGTGTGTGTGTGTGTGTGTGTGTGTGTGTGTGTGTGCCATCAAATTGGATCTGACTGGTATAGGAGGAGATTGTTCCTCCTTCTCCAGCAAAGCATCTGGTGGATTTGAACCTCACACCTCTGAGATTGCAGTGTAGCTTCTTGCCACTAGGCCACGAGAGCTCGCAGAGTATCTATTTTTTTAAAAAATATACTTTTAAAAAAATATATACTTTTCGGCCATTTATATATGTTCTTTGAAGAAATGTTTATTCAAGTCCCTTGCTTGTTTTTAAAAATCGAGTGGTTTTTGTAGTTGTTATTGTTGAATTGTAAAAAGTTCTTTATACATTTTGGGTACAATTCCCTCATCAGATATATGACGGGCAAATATTTGCTCCCAAGTTATGTTATTTTTTTCTTTTTTGTAGAACCAAAATTAGTTATGAAACACGGTGTTTTGTAACTTGCTCTTTTTTTTTCTTTTAGATAATGAATCATGGCCACGTCTCAATGCTAATCGAAAGCTCCATCATTTTCCCCCCCTCACCACATTTTTTTTCCTTCCTCATTCTTTTTATGACTAGATAGCATTCTGTTGTGCTTGTACTGCGAGTTTATTGTCAAGTTCACTTCATCAGCTCTTCATGGGGCTTTCAGAAGACTTGAGCTCACGGGTTGGTAAGAGATTGTGACGCCTCAGCTCTGGCGAAGCTGAAGCCCTGCTAAGTGAGTTGCCCACTCTTGGGTGATGTGCTCACACAAGTAGGTACAGGAAACATCTCTAACCTGCTTACACTTCCTCTCTGAACCCTGTGGTTTCACAACCCTTACAGACACACATCCCCAAGTGTCACCAGCCTCTTGACTCTGTGAGAAAGTCTCATTTCAAAAGGCCCCAGGCCATTATCATTTCCCTCTTCCCCCTAAGTTGTCAGCAAATTCCACGGACCTTCTGAGACCAGGACTTGCGTTTCACAGATCCCTCCAGGGGCTTGAGCGATGAAGAATTCCTGCACCGTCCTGACGAGACTGCTCCTGTGTGGGCCCTTTCTTTTCGGTAGGTGAAGGAGGATGGAGGAGAGGACAAAGGAAGGGAAGGGGCACGTGTCTGTGACTAGAAAAAAAGGCCAGGATTTGTAGAGCTGAGTAAATAAGGAGCTCCTCTGTGGATGGGACTGGCCGTAGGTAGGGTTGAATCAAGAAATCAAGAAAGAGGAAGAGAGAAAAAAACAAAACCCAGAGGCGAAATGTAAGAAAATCCAGGGAAGGGAGACAAAGATGGTGATGATTAGAGAGGGTAAGGAAGGTCCTTTTGAAAGGCAGATGACTGGCTAATGAATAATTGGGCTTGGAGAAGGGTACTGGGCTGTGGTCCTGCTTATGGAACTCCCTGTCTATCAGATCTTTAGCAAGACATTTCCCCTTTCAATGTCTGAGTGTCTTCATCTGAACAAAAAAAGGGCCAGTCTCTCTGACATCCTAGGATCAGAAATAAGCCTGATTCCCAGAAGGAAGGCAGGGTCAGAAAGGACCGTTTGGGGTTGGCGGATAACACACAGTCTATGTGAGGTGGGTGCGGGATGGGGGAGTCTGAGATCTAACAGCTAATACAACATCAACAACAATGGCTAAAGGCCAGACTGGTCCATGATGAGGGTGGGACCTGTGGGAATGTTCATGAGAGCAGAAGTGCTTCACAGGGATCACGTGATCTCCCCCCACCTCACCTTGTACAATCGAGTATTTATTATTCACTGCAAATATTTTTTTCCTTTCAATATTCGTATACATTGTGTTTCACACTTCCGAAGGGGACCTGAAAAGACAGGATAATGGTGGGCATAGTTCAATGGCTCAGAGGACCTTGAATCCCCAAAGATGCTGGATGAAGAAAGTCTGAGGTCAATTATCTTCGCTCTCCGGAGCATGGCCCCATGGCGAAAGGAGAAGGGATCCTACCTTGGGGCATCCTCATCTCAGTGCCTGCCTGGGAACCTGAGGCCCTGTGCTTTAGTGAGCAGGGAACTGTGTCCCTCTTCATGGGCCTTCTCATCCATTCTTCTTTGTTGAGACGCCAAAGAGGAAGTTGTGCCCATCCCAGGGCCTGGTGCTGCCAGAACTCTGGATAGGAGGAAGTCACTGCCTCCGTATTTCCCAGGGCCCGGTTCTGCCTCGCTCAGATGTGGACGGCCCCGGGTAGAGGCAGCTGTATTTTAAGCCGGGGTACAAACCTCTAAGAGCCTTGTTCTGGTGGGACTGTGGTTCAGCACCCACAGTTCTTAGGGTACACACAGGGAGGCCCCTGGCCAAAGTGGCTGATGCCCCCTCCTCCCCCCTAGCTCCCACCTCAAGCTACAATCTGGATGTGCTGCACGTGCAAAACTTCTCCTTCCAAGATGCTGGGAGACATTTTGGGTACCAGGTCCTGCAGGTTGGAAACAGGTGAGCTGCCTCTGCCTCAACTCCAGTCTTCCCAGCCCACAAGGGCAACGTACCTCTGCTGTTAGCCTTGGTACTTTCCTGATGGGTGGCTGTGGCAGGGTCACTGTCCTCTCAGATTGGTTAGCTGGTAGAACAGGCAAAGTACAAGGACTTTCCTGTCTTGGGCTCATCAGTGAGATTTCTCTTGACACATAGGAACAAGCAAAGCTGTCAAATAGGTTGATAACAACAAGCACATCATAAAAGGCCTTCCAAGGCACTAAGAGAAGAAGAAACATAACAGGGGCCCCCAAACATTTTGCAGCACTTTCTGGGGTTCCAACTCTCTCCTTGACTAGACAGTGAATAATGTGAAGGCAGAATTTTTGTTTCTTTCTCTCTTCTATCCCTAGCACGTATTCCAGTTTAACACATGGTATTATTACTGTTGTTATATGTCGTCGAGTCAGAGCTGACCTATAACTGACCCCATCAGTGGGTTTTCAGAGGCAGTAAATCACACAGGAGGAGATTTCTCCTCGAGAGCAGCTGGTGGATTTGAACCACATGCCCTTGGGTTGGCAGTGCAATGCCCTACCATTACACTACCAGAGTTCCCTTAAAACATATTAGTTGTACCATAATGGCTTTTAAATTAATGACTGATTTCATGAACTCATATTGTGACATTCTGGCAGACTAGTTTCTGGGCCTCAGTTGTGTTAGTCCACTTCTGTCTTTCTGTATGTGATTATTATGTGGGATTAAATTGAGAAGACACAGGGAGCTGAGGAGCCCCCTGAAGAGACTGTGTTGCCTTGAGAGATCTGGTGGAGGATCTGAACCCTATAAAAGGCAGGAGTGGGTGGGTAAGGATGTGGGCATTGCATCTTACAGGTGAGCTTTCTCCCTAGGGTTGTTGTGGGAGCTCCAGGGGAGGGGAGCAGCCTGGGAAACGTCTATCAGTGCCAGGCAGACACTGGGCACTGCCAGCCGGTCAATCTGAGTGGTGAGTAACTAACAGACGGGTGAGCGAATAGGGGGGAGTGGCATCTTAGGGAAATCAAAGCCCGCCCCAACACACCTGGATTGCCCAAGTTCTTCCAGACCAACCTTCTGATGTCTACAGGTTCCAACTCCACTTCCAAATACTTGGGAATGACCTTGGCGACAGACCCCACAAGTGGAAGCCTCTTGGTAAGACTTTATCTAGGGTGACATCAGAGGGTATGAGGCTCAATGCGAAGGAAGAGAGATTGAAGAGAAGAAAATGGCAAAAAAAGACCCCACAGAGGAAGACAGGCACCAGAAAGACACAGATTTCATTAGTGTTTATTGTAAACAGGTTATGAAGCAGCACTTTTCTGTGTTTCTATGTGTATTCCAATAAAACTTTGTTTATAAATATAGTGAGCCATATTTTGGTTTGTAGGATGTAGTTTGCTGATTTTTATTTTTCCTTTTTCTTAATTGAGATTTTAATGAAAGTTTATGGAGAACTTGGATTTCCATTCATTCACTGTTGCACAGAAGCAGTGATTTTCAAAACGGTTTTTCTTCTGAATCTGAAATGCCTGTGACCGTTGACACACCAGATTATTCTGGTGGCACAAAAACATTTTTCTGGGGGGAAGGAAGGAGGACATTTTATTGTGGTTTGAGAAAAAGTTAGACTTTTAATATTTTAATATGTTTAATGGCTCACTGAAAAAATACATAACAACCATATAAAATTTATGATTGTTTGAATTATGTTGTTTAGGATGAAACAAAAAAAGAGTCAGAGAAACATTGATTTAAAGGAAAATGTTAAGTCACTAACTATACAGGTGATAACTCTAGTGTGGCAGAAATTGTGAAGTGATTCCCAAATATTTAACATTTGGGAAATAGAGCCTTATCCTTTACATCCCTTGAGACAGATGAGAGAGAGATCAGCATGTACATTTTACACTTGAAGAAACAGGACTAAGGAAATAAGAGACTCTGACAATGAAGTTGTAAAATTATTGTTGTGGTTGTTAGATGCTGTCAAGTTAAGTACAACTCATAGCATCTCTACGAACAATAGATCAGAACCCTGTCCTACCGGGGCCATCCTCATAATTTCTGACACACGTGAGCCCATTGCCGCTGTCACTGTGCCAATCCATCTGGTTGTAGAGCAGAATTCAAATCACATTCTCACTTGACTCCACATCTATTCCTCTTTCAAATTAGTCCCAGCATCCTTTGGGCTCAGTGAGAGAGAGAGAAGACTCAGTGAAATATTGAGAGCAAGAAAGACTAAGTGAACCCCGGTATTTCCTGGAGTTTGTTATTAGCTACTGTTAGATGCCAGGCATTGCACTAGGTTCTGATAGAGGAAGGGAAATAAGATACAAAGATGAGTGGTTCGAATCCACCAGATGTTTCGCTGGAGAAGGAAGGGCAATCTCCTCCTGTGTCAGTTGGATCTGATTCGATGGTACACAGCAACAACAACAACAACAAGATGACCAATATGAGCCTTGACTTTTAAGAAATTATGGTCTGGGAAAGTCAATCATAAATAAATGAAAGAACATTTACATTCTGAGAACTGTGAGTGATTTGGCATAAATATAGAATGTGTGATTAGGAATAGGAGAAGGTAGGCCTTTAAATACAGAATAGTAAATACTGAAACATAAGCAATTTTGAATTACAAGTTAAGGAGTTTAGACTTTATTTAATAGACAGTGAATGTCCAGTGACCTCAGCATTGTAATAATGGGGAGGAGGCAGATAAAAGATGCTATGGAAGTAAAGTGAACCAGTTGCCTTGGTAATCAGATATAAATAGTGAAGGAGCAGGACAATAGTGCAGGTTTTTGTTCCTGGCTAATGACATCCAAAAGACACATGGAGGCATCCCCCATCTTTTATATCTGCTTCTTTCAGGCCTGTGACCCAGGGCTGTCTCGGACATGTGACCAGAACATCTACCTAAGTGGCCAGTGTTACCTTTTTCATGAGAATCTGGAGAGCCCTGTGTTTCAAGGACGCCCTGGTTATCAGGGTAAGCCACCCCCATCTATGGCTGCGAAAGACCCTAGAGATGGAGATCCGGGGGGGTCAAAATACTTCCAAGTGGGTTCCCATACACAAGGATGAGGCCTGGTAGTAGCCACAGTGGAGACGCGTCACTCGGTCTGTACATCTGACTCCTGCAGAATGCATAAAGGGCAAGGTAGACCTGGTGTTCCTGTTTGACGGTTCGAGGAGCCTGCAGCAAGACGAATTTCAGAAAATTCTGGACTTCATGAAGGATGTGATGAAGAAACTTAGCAACTCTTCCTACCAGGTAAGCATATCAGAATTCTTTGCCACAAGCTGTTAGATAGAAAGAAGAGTTGAGGGCAAAAGAGAAAAAGAAAGCATCTGGTCCCAAGAAGCGAACAGGCCTTTCTCAGTAGACCTGGCATGGATACCAGGTGACTGCTCTCAGAGTGGCACACAGGCAGACAAAACAGTTCCCTTTTATAGGGGCTTTCAGGGACACCTAGAGAGGGGCTGGGGTCCTGTCAATGTGTGATCAGGTGCAGGGCTTTATCAGGACATTTAAATTATCAGGTTTTTCCAAAGAACAGTCAGGCCTGGGGATAAGGCCTGTGACATTATTCCTTCACAATCAACAGATAGCCATTTGAATGAGCTTAAAAGGGACATCAGGCTTGAAAGGGTGGAGGGACAGAGAAAGAGAGGAAGACCATTCATCAGGTGGGTTGATTCAGTGACTGTGGTAATGAGGGTAGATGTATCAGACAGTAAAGATACAGGATAGAGTAGGTTTCAGGGCTACTGTACATAGGGTCGCTGTGAGTTGCAAGTGACTCAATGGCACATAACAACAACAACAACAGGCCTTTGTGGAAATTGAATATGAAGAAATACTGACTGGATGTGAAGGGACAAGGATTAAAGTGTAGAAAGCTGCTGAGTGCTTCTAACTCATTTCTGTTTCTTCTTGTGCTTCCGTTTCCCTCTTCTCTCTCTGTGGATTGGCTCTCTCAGCTTCTTTGAGTCACTTGAACTTGTAACGCTCCCGTGTTTGCAAATCAAAGTTCAAACAAGATTTTTTAACTTTCTTCTCAACAAGCTTGTTCCTCTGTAAATTCTAACATTTCAGGAGAGTCTGACGGAGAGAGCTTCAGTTGAGTGACCATCTCTGGCTCAGCCAGCTGTATCTGCTACAGCAGTTACTCAGCAGAAAACATGGCTCCTGGGAACCATCCTTATTGCCCGGATAGGCAGACCCAGACCATAAACAGGACTTGGCAAACAGCACTACATAACGAAGCAGAAGTTTATCTCATTTAATTTCTATTTTTTGTTTATATGTTGTCTCATTTAAAAAAAACAACAAAACCATTTGAAACAGTAATGGGGCGGGGGGGCTCTGGTGGCCTAGTAGCAAGAAGCTGCACTGCAGTCACAGAGGTACGCGGTTCGAATCCACCAGATGCTCTCCTGAAGAAGGAGGGGCAATCTCCTCCTGTACCAGTCAGATCCGATTTGACAGTACACACAAAAAATAATAAAAGAAAATTTAAAAAATTAAATAAGAGACAGGAATGTGGCCTTGGGTTCCCCAGATCTTAGACAAGCAGAGATTGAAACATGTACGTGAAAGTTTATAAGGGACTTAACTATCATTTCTCTTTTCTTTATTTTCCTAGTTTGCGGCTGTTCAATTTTCTTCAACCTACAAAACAGAATTTAATTTCTTGGATTACGTTCAGAAGAAGGACCCTGACGTCCTGTTAGCCAATGTCGAACACATGCTCCTGTTGACCAACACCTTTGGTGCCATCAACTACGTTGCGTGAGTTCTTTAGACTTTTTTTTTTCTTTAGGAGAGTGTCTATGTATCCTAAACTTTCCGGTTTCAGGGTAACAGGAACTCACATGAGTTGACTTACCAAAGGTCAGTTTATTGTGATAATTCAGAAGGCGCAATGTTAGTCAAGGTTCTTTTTATTATAAGTAACAGAAATCCACTTTATACTGACTAAATCCAAAAGGGAAATTTGGGAGATGAAATGATAATGAAGCCTATAAACCTGATGAATGGAAGTGTCTCCAGGCCTCCTGAGAAACCAGAACCAGGACCTAGAAAGTGACTTTAAACATAAGAGCCGCAGCAAAGGTCAGCTTTGAAGCCAAGAGATGGAAACCACCCCCCCCAAAAAAACCCCTCAAATAGTCAAAATTATACTTCAGGAACTCTTTGAGTCATTTATAAATCTCAATATGCTCAAGGTCCAGATTTGATACTGGTATACTTTGAGTTCCTAAATTCAACACACGAAAAGTTTTCCCTTCAGAGTTGGATCAGATTGCTATGTTTAAATTGAGGCCTCAATCAAAACAGTTGGGAAACTTTAAAGGGTCTTCTTGTACTAAAGCTAAAACAAAACAAAAATCCATAAAGCTATCTTTTAAGCATCAGAGTGATCATAAGACCACAGAGTTGATTTGGGGGAGAGGACAATGGTATTTCCCATCCCTCACCACAATGTAGGGAAATAGAGAAAGGGTCTCGTGCACTATTTCTAATCTTTTTCTCATCTTCTTTTCTTTGTCAAGCTTGTATATTAAATCTACATAAGCTAAACATGTATGTGATATACCACCTTAAGATTCTCCATGAATTTTCCCAGCTCTTTCTTTTCGGGGCTCACTTGACCTTCCATACCCACTTATTCTCCCTCTCTCTCTCTGTAGATAGCATTTTGGCATAATGGGTCAAGCATGACTACTCAAAAAAAATTGTCAGGCTCAGTTCCTCAGTTCAGATGAACAACCTGAATTCTAGCTTCCAAGACAGAGAATCTGATTGGTTGATCCCGAGTCAGGTGTCTATGGGTCCACTCAGCTCTGGACTGGTTTATTCTGTGGCATAGGGTCTTATATTCCAAATATGAATTCTAGGATCTCAACTCAAAGATAAGCAGGGGTCTGTTCTTAGAGAAAAGGGACATCACAGGAAGGGAAGAAAGGGACATCACAGGAAGGGAAGACACCTTGAAAGATGTCAACTGTGGAAGCAAAAAGAGATTTATTTAACAGACGTTTCTTGGCCACGCGTTGTATGCTAGGACCAGATCAGAAATTGGCACAATTTTTCCATGGAGAATCATATATTTTAGGCTTTGCTGGACAGATACAATGTCTGTTGCATACTTCGAGTTTATAGCCCTGTGTAAATAATAATTGGCCCAAGACCTAGCCCAAAATGTGACTATAATTCACATTTCTCCACTTCTCCATCTCTGAAGCCAACCACCTACATGATATTTCTCTTTCTCAAACCCTCAGTATCCAGAGGTAGGTCTTTACAGAACAATGCCCTGCACAGCCCTTTTCCCCAGCAGCAATTAAAGCTAAGTTCTCTTGAATTCTGTCTTTCTGATCCAAATAAACAGATGTCAGGCTTTTACTATCAAATAGCAAATAGACAGATATTAGCTTTTACTAACCTCTGTGGGGTTGATTATTCACTAGAATGGCTCACAGAAGGAGCAGACAGACTCACTATAACCTTTTAAATACAACCACAAAAGGATTTGCATGAAGAGACACCCAAATGAGGTCTAAGCGGCATTTCGGGTGTGAAACTTTCCATGTTCTCAGAGATGTTTCAGTCCTTCCATGCACCAGTTCTTCCAGAAGCCGAAACGAAGCTTCCAAGTCTGAGGTCCTTTATAAGAGTTACCGTGGCCTTGCCATCCCAGAGGTATGCAGTTCAAATCCACCGATGCTCTCCTGGAGAAGGAGGGGCAGTCTCCTCCTGTACCAGTCAGATCTGAGTTGATGGTACACACACACAAGATAATAATAAAAAAAAAAGAGTTACCGTGGCCTCATTGAATATGCATGACTGGGACCATTTAGTCAAGGGATGGGCACATCACTGAATATGTATGACAAATTTCCATCATACCCAGCTCGCTTCTCCTTTCCTGAATTCGTTCTCCAGATGTGGTTCTTGGGCTTTATCTCATCTGCATACATTTAAGTTGCCTGGCCATTTTATGAAATAAAAGATACATTAGGTTGATAATGAGCTGTTGTTAGGTCCTAAACAGTTGTTATGTGCGCTCAGTCATAGCGACCCTATGTACAACAGCTCTGAAGCCTGCCCTAACCTGAGCCAGTCTCACTGACTCAGACACACCTACTCCGCAATTTCCCCAGGGTCCTGCCTGTCAGAACTCTACCTTGAGAGCAGGCTGCTCCTCTTATTTTTCAGCACCTTCCAAGTAACTCTCCCACCCGCTCTCTGTATCTCGCCCACCTCCCGCTGCGGCTTCTCTAGCCACTGCGTGTGACTTCCGGCTCCTGCTGCAGAGCCAGGCCACATCGTGAGGCATGGGCTATGGACTGGCTGCTCTTTGGTGGATTATTCATCTCTGGTGACCCGTGGGGATATGGGGGACACGGCACATAACAACAGTGTGGGAAGCAGATGTGGCAGCAAAGAGGAGGGGGGAGATGTGGAGGAGAACATTGAAAGTTTGGCCTATCTGACTGTCAAGTGCATTGTTGTTGACCATCAAGTGGGAACCGACTCATAGCTAACCCTCTAGTGGGTTTTCAGCAGCGGTAAATTGCACAGGAGCTGATTGGCCATCCTTGTCCCACAGAGTACTGGTGGATTTGAACTGCCTTGGGTCAACAGCACAACTCTGAGAAGAGCTTTTAAATTTTTTTTCTTTTATTATTTTTGTGTGCGTGTACCGTCAATTCAGATCTGATTGGTACAGGAGGAGATTGTTCCTCCTTCCCCGGCAGAGCATCTGGTGGATTCGAACTGTGCGCCTCTAGGATTGTAGTTGCAGCTCCTTGCCACTAGGCCACCAGAGCTCCCCTGAGAAGAGCTTTTTAAAAAAAAATGTGTGTGCGCACGCGCGTGTGTGTGTGTGTGTGTATTGTCAAATCAGATCTGACTGGTACAGGAGGAGATTGTCCCTCCTTTTCCAGGAGAGCATCTGGTGGATTAGAACTGTGCACCTCTGGGATTGCAGTGCAGCTTCTTGTCACTAGACCACCAGAGCTCACCAAGAAGTACTTTTTTGTTTAGTGAGAAGGCTTTACTGATGTAAAGTACTGATAAGAGGTGGGAAGGGAAAGAAAGGAGGGAGACCTTGGGCTTAAGCAGGAGAAGAGGTCTCTTACGTTCTATCTTCCTGAACACAGGAAACAGGTCTTCCGGGAAGAACTGGGGGCCCGGCCAGATGCCACCAAGGTGCTCATCATCATCACAGATGGAGAAGCCACTGACAGTGGTGACATTGAAGTGGCCAAAGACATCATCCGCTACATCATTGGGGTACAGTACCCTGTGCTCTGTCTTGGGGCTCGTCTCTCCCTCTCCTCCTCCTGAATCCCAGGCCCCTTTCTACCTGGGGGCCAGCAGCTGTGAAGAGAACAGAAAGCTGGTCTGAGATCCCGGGCGTGCCTGTTCTTTACTCCCTTACAGATCGGGAAGCATTTTAAGACGAAGGAAAGTCAGGAGACACTCCACAAATTTGCCTCAACACCCACGAAGGAGTTTGTCAAGATTTTGGACACATTTGAGAAGCTCAAAGATCTCTTCACTGAGCTGCAAAAGAAGATCTACGTGATTGAGGGTGAGTGGCATACTCGGGCCTGAGAGAAGTCTGACAGGAAATCAGGTGAAGGTGATCCAAGCAGCCTCTGATAGCTCCCGCCAAAATGCCATCTTCCTTTCAGGGCTCAGTTGATCCAGGTTAAGGCCTCTGTCTTGCTACCAAATTACTTTCATCACTTCCTACATTTGCTTAACACTCTTGTTTCGCTCATCCGAGGCTCCAAATTACTTAAAACGTTGTTAAGTGAATAGAGGCCCAGTGTGAGGAGCCCACATCCCCATTTCCTTGGCCTAGACTAGGAGAAGGTCTGTATGGTAGCTACCAAGTGGACAACTGGCTGTTGCTCCAGGAAGCCTGGTCTACTAAGAATCATGCATCCCATGGGCAAGTCCCCATTGCTATCACACAGCCTTGCATCTAACTCAGATGAAGAAGCAATATGGTATCTATTTCTTGAATCAGGTAAACATACTCAAGAATCCACTGTTTGCCTTGCTCTTCACCCCTAACCGGTTCACTTTCCCTCTCTGAGCCTCACTGTCTGTCCCTGTTAAAAGAGGACAGTACTACCTGCCTGACAGCTTTGATTATGGTTTCATTGCTTCGCAAAATGTTTGGTGGGTTACAGGCTCCGAAGAAATGATAGCTCTTCTTTCTGGCCCTTATCCTCTGCCTCGGCACGGCTGGTTCTTAGTCTCCAGATCTCAGTTTAAATGTCCCTTCTTTTGAAAAGTTCTTCTTGATTCCTCCAAGTTTGAGTTAGCTGCTTCTTCCTTCTTGGGTGCTGCTGAGCCACGCATTCCCTATCCCCGCCCTGCGACACTGTGCTCCGTTGTCTACTCCATTCCTGTCTCCCACACTAAATTGTGAGGTCTGCATGATGAGTTACATGTGTGCTTTTCCATCATTATATCCTTGACACCAAATATCTAGTTACGCTAAGTATTTAGCGGGAGCTCTGGTAGCTTAGTGGTTAGGAATTGCACTGCCAATCCAAAGGTATATAGTTTGAATCCACCAGCAGCTCCACGGGGGACATGGGCAATCTCCTTCCATGCAATTTACTGCTTCTGAAAATCTACTGGAGGGGCGAGCTCTGGTGGCCTAGTGGCAGGAAACTGTACTGCAATCCCAGAGGTACGCGGTTCAAATCCACCACATGCTCTGCTGAAAGAGGAGGAGCAATCGCCTCCTGTACCAGTCAGGTCCAATTTGACGGTACACACATAAAAAAATTAAAAATAAAAATAAAAAACATTTAAAAAAAGATGAGTTTAAAAAAAAATCTACTGGAGAGTCAGCTATGAGTTGGTTCCAACTCGAAGGTGCTTAACAACATAACTACAAATGTTTAAGGAGACCTGGTGGCACAGGAAGTAGGGAATTGCACTGGTAACCCAAAAGTAGTGGCTCTCTAATGGTTCAAATCCACCAACGGCTCAGAAAAAGAAAGATGACTGGTCTCCTCCCTGTGATTTGTTGTTGTTGTTATGTGCTGTTGAGTCTCCTGTGACTCATAGTGACCCCTATATACAGCCACTCTGAAGCCTGTCCTGTCCTGAGCCAGTCTCACTAATTCTGACACACCAACTCCCATCGCCCCAGTATCAACCCATCGCATCTGAGGTCTTCCTCTCCTGCACTGTCCTTCCATCCTTTACAACCTCAGAAAACCACTGGAGGATCCTCCACGAGTCAGTTCCAGCCCAAAGGTAGTGAGTGAGTGAATGAGTGAAATATTTATTCAATGACTTAACACATCATCATAGTTAATTTTAATATTTCTTGGAAATTTACATAGAACTATGACTTTATATTACTTAATCCACTCCTCTCAGTCTCCTTGTAAGGCTGGTGGTATTTTCGTTTTATTAATTAGTGCTTGCAACAACCAGGAGAAAATGACTAAAGACACAGCACCAAAGTAGATGCCATGGTCAAGTTGGGTAGAGAAAGTTGATATACAAGTAAACAAACATGCTATTTAAAGACTGTGGTAAATTTATAAAGAAAATTAATAAAATATTAAGATGGATTTAACTGGAGAGACCCACTTTAGACAGAACTTCAAAGAAGGCCTTCCTGAGATAACTTCTGAGCTGAGAATTGAAAGATGAGAAGTAAACAGCCATGTGAAGGATGTGGACAAAGTACAGAGAGAAGAGCAGCTGTAAAGTCCAGAAGATGAGCCAGGGCTTGGCTAGTTGATGACATTAAAAAGTCAGTGTGGTAAGAGTTGAGCGGGTTAAGTGTTGAGCAACTAACACAAAGGTTGGCAGTTCTAACCCACCAGTGCCACCCTTGCGGGACAAAGATGATGTGGTGAGAAAGATTTACAGTCTGAAGAGAAAAACTATGGTACATTCACACAATGGAATTTTATGCAGCACGGAAAAATGGTGAACTCATAAAACTTTACACAACATAGTTGAGCCTGGAAGACATTATGTTGAGTGAAATATCTCAGTCACAAAAGGATAAATACTGCATAATATCTTTGTTGTAAAATGGGTGGGGGAAGAAAATGTGCAATAAAAAATAAAAAAAATATTTACAGTCAAGAGAAACTTATGGAGGGTCGCCATGGGCGGCATCAACTCGACGGCAGGAAGCAAGAGAGGGTGATAGACGTTTAGAGAGAAGGTGGAACCTTCCAGGCAGGACCTCAAAGGAGTTTGGATGTTAGTCCAAAGCAGTGAAGCTTTTAGGAAAATAGAGACGCCATCTAAAAAACATTTGTAAGTGAGACTGATCTAGCCATGCATCAGAGAGCTGGACAATGTCTAAGGGTCATAGAAGAAGACTCAATGCTTTTGAGTTGTGATTGCTGAAGAAGATTCTTGAACATACCATGACAGGCATCTCCAAGAAGACTTCAGGAAGGTAAATCTAAATTTCTCCTTGGAAGGTACGATTTTAAAGCTCTGTCTCACATACTTTGGGCGTGTGGCCTGGAGAGATCGTTCCTTGGAGAAGGACATCATGCTTGGAAGCGTAGAGGGACAGCACAGGAGAGGAAGACTCCAGATGAGATGGATTGATAACTGGGGAAGTGGGGATAGGTGTGTTGCAATCAGTGAGAATGGCTCAAGAGAGGGCAGACTTCAGAGCTGCTGTACATAGGGTCGCTGAGTCATAGGTGACCCAATGGCACAAAACAACAATAACACCAAGGGAGCTCTGGTGGCCTAGTGGCAAGAAGCTGTGCTCCAATCCAGAATGCGCATGGTTTGGATCCATCAGATGCTTTGCTGGAGAAGGAGGGGCAATCTCCTCCTGCGCTAGTTGGATCTGATCTGAGGTACACAGCAAGGAGAGAGAGAAGAGAAAAGAGGAGAGGAGAGGAGAGGAGAGAAAAGAGGAGAAGAGGAGAATGAATCCAGAGCTGGTTTTAGGCATGCTGAGGTGAAGTTCAGGGCCACACAGACTTCGATGATAATGCCAACAGAGATCACTGTCCAGGCCTGGATGACTCTGAAGCTCTATCCTCTTGTCCAAAGACAAGTGTGATGCTTCTTTCCCATTCCTCTCATGCGTCTCAGTTTTTACCTACCGCCTCTCAGGCCTCAGCCTCATTCTTCACTTCTTGTCCCTCAGGCACAAGCAAACAGGACCTGGCATCCTTCAACATGGAGCTGTCCTCCAGTGGCATCAGTGCGGATCTCAGGAAGGTGAGAGCGGGGCTGGGAGCAGGGGGTTGGGAACATTCTGTGGACCTGCAGCTCACCATGGGAGGATAGCTGACCCCTGCTGACCTTCTCTGGACAGGGCCATGGAGTTGTGGGGGCAGCTGGAGCCAAGGACTGGACTGGGGGCTTTCTAGACCTGAAGGCAGACCTGAAGGATGGCATATTTGTTGGGAATGAACCACTGACACAGGAAGAAAGAGCAGGATACTTGGGTGAGTACTTATCTTTTCTGGTGAATATTTTTGGTGCTCAGAAGGCACAGAGATGCTTACCTTTGACTTTCAAAAGAATAGTGAAAGTAATTGAGCAAACAACAGGAAAAAACTGAGTTCACACATAGTTACAGCTTTTTTTTTTTAAGTTCCTGGGTAATATAAATGGCTGGTTCTCTCATTGAAGGGTTGGAAGTTCATATCTACCCAGCAGCACGTCAGGGGGAAAGCCTGACCATGTGCTTCTGGAAAACCAGCCACTGAAAATACCATGGAGCACCATTCTACCTGACATACGTGGGGTCACCATGTGTCACAATCAACTCATTGGCCACTGGACTTGGCTTGACAGTTGTCATTTCTCCATTAGTCATTTGAGTGATTAGCAGGCTTCACTCTCCTGCCTAACCAGAAGTGAAAGTCTAGGTGAGCTCTGGTGGCCTAGTGGCAAGAAGCTGCACTGCAATCCCAGAGGTGCATGGTTCAAATGGTTCAAATCCACCAGATGCTCTGCTGAAGAAAGAGGAACAATCACCTCCTGTACCAGTCAGATCCCATTTGATGGTACACACATAATGATGAT